ACCATAAAGATCAGCAACACAGGGTGAAGCCTTGGTTAGCCCATGGTCCCCACTGCTTGGCAAGCTTATCCTCTGGCCAGGGCACTGAACGCTTATGCCCAGAGACATCAGCCTTTGCACCATTTGGCTTTCTGAGGAAATAAGTGAGATGGGGCAGCCCTGACAAACAAGGGTGCAGAGGTTTTAGTAGCCTCACAGGTAACCTTGCCATTCCTGGGCATGGGCAGTAAGGGGTACACAGCATCTGAGCTGCTCAAAGCTCTGCCTGTGGCTCAACCCCCTGAACCTAGGCCCTCCTGGACCCGGGTTACCCAGGGAAGATTCACCTTTGAATCAAGAATAGAATTAGCTGAGTGTCTCTGAGTGGTCATAAGACTGCTCCTCTAAGCAACTGTTTCTGGGGACTAGGGGGAGCCAGGCTTTTGTGACCCTGAGTCCTCAGAAGCACGTTGGAGGCCCTAGTCCTGACTTGGCTTCTGCACAAGGCAGTTACCTCCCCAGGCTTCCACGTCCCCATCTGTGAAGGAAGGGATTGGATGGATCATCTGAGGTTCTCCTTGCCCTAAAGCGCCCGTGTGTATGTGTGTGCATGCATGAATATGAGTGTTTGTGCACATGTGTGTGTGCATGTAATAGCACATGTGATAGGTTTGTGTTTGTATGTGGGCATATTGTGGGAGCTGTGTGCACATATATGCATTGCACTGTGCATGCTAGTGCTGCATGGGCACACATGTGTGCTGTGGTGCATGGTGTGTGCGTGTGTTGTGTGTGTGTTTAGATATGTCTGTTGGGTTTTCCTGGTTAATAGAGACTTGCTCATGCTACTTCTCTTGGCCACTTTGGATTTACAAACTGCAAACAATCTTTTCAGAACCCAATCAGTTCTTAGGTGGAGGAGCTCCTGTACTGAAAGCGCTGGTTTCGTTGGGTCTCTCCCACTCTGGATTAGCAGGTCCATGGCTAAAATCACATTTGGCACATAGTAGGTGCCCAATAAATAACTGGTGGAAAATGAATAAATGAATGAACTAGTTTTACTGCACTGTCATTCTTCCCTGGCCCCACAACTCTGCCACGAAACTCTGTCTAGCATCTGAGTCATCAACCATAATCGTTCTCAGCAACACTTCCTGTCCTCTTTCAGTTCACCTTTGACCCAAATGCACTTCATCTTTTCTACCCACTGTGTGCCGTTCTCCACATTTTCTATAGTTATCACAGAAATAGTCCTCACTATAAATCTAGAGGGAAGGTGATGCTACTTCTACTTTTCAAATAAAGAAATCAAGGCTCAGAGAACAAGTAACTTGTCCAAGGTCAAGCTAGTTAATTGGCAAAGTCGGGATTCCATCTGGGTCTGGCTCACGTAAGCATACCATCCTGCTGCCTGCTGAAGAGGTGGAGAGGGAAGCCAGCTGCTCTTTGGTCCTGTGCTGACAATGCAGAAGGAAGCTGGCATCAAAAAGTTAAGAAGATAGAGCGCCCTGCGCTGGTTATTATCGAGGTGTCCACTCCATGGCTGTTTTTAAAACAGGTTTCCCCAAAGTGAAAGACTGTATTGCCACCAACTGGAAACTGATGTAACAAAGCAAGTAACTGATAAAGCCAGCCTTGAATGTTTTCCAGGTCTAATGACTCTTTTCTGGAGTCTATGGGTTGGGAAACTGAGTCCCAGCCAAGCTCTTGTCCACGAAACCAGGCAGAGGTAAAGCATATTTTTTAGAAAAACGCAGGTCTCCAAAGAGTGCGTCAATGTCCACAAGGATGAGGGGGTGAAAGGGCTCTGTGACCGCAGGACAGTGCCTGCCCTCTTTGCACCTGACCCTCAGGCATCAAAGGTGTGTCATATCTAAGGTGTGAAATCAACAAAGTGAAAGAGTTGCAATTCAGGCTTTTTTAGCTCAGAGAACCCAATCTTTTTTTTAAGCACCAACTAATGGGCTAAATTTATTTGAAAAAATAAAATCAAACATTTGTTCAGCAACAATTAGGCCAAACATTGGCATCTTCCTCACTTTTGCCAGTCACCCAGCACAACATTCTTCCCCAACACATACATGGATGTCTTCCTGATGACAAAAGTAATGTGTGCTCATTATAGAAGAATAACAAAATACAGATAAACACAAAGAACACATCCGCCCACGCAGCAACAATCACTGTTAAATATATATGTGTGTTTCCATGACCAATCTTTTGCTCTTTGTATAGAAAAGTGATTTATCCCAGATTAAATAAAGGATCACTCACATATGAATATACTTCATTAACCGGTTTATTACATTTATTAGGGATTTTTAATACAGAAAATTAGAAAACCAAAATATGACAAATAATCCCGACTCTGAAATACTTTCAGTTAACACTTTTTTAAAAAGGTAATGCAAGCAATGTTTAAAAAAACAAAAAGCATAGAAAGAGATAAAATGGAAAGTAAAAGTCTTCTCTCCCTTTGCCACTTCACCATCCCCAGAGTCTCAAAGGTAACCACTCTCATCCACTGATGCCTACGTGGAAAAAAATGTATGTATAGTCAGTAGATACACCTAAGTGGAGCGTACATAAGCCATCATACAAGCAGAGTTCTCTGCCCCTTCTTCTTTTACTTAATAATATAGTTTTTCCCAAACAGCACATACAAATCTATCTTCTTTATCGGTTTCACAATATTGTATTGTGCGGATATTCTAAAGTTTATTTAACCAGTCCCCATTGCTGAAATACTGGCTCTTACAAATGCTACAGTGAGCGTCCTTGTACACCGATCTGGGTGTACTTTTGCAAGTAAAGTCATAGAATTGCTGAGTCAAAGAAATCTGATTTGTAACTTTGATAGATATATTGTCAATTGCTCTCCAAAATGCCCCAGTGTAGGCTCCCACCAATAGAGTGTATTTGAGTGCCTGCTTCCCCAAATCTCAGCCAGTATTGACCAATATCAAATTTTGGTCAAACCATTACAGATTATATTGTATCAGTCAAAGTTCTCCTGAGAAAAGAATCAGGAGGAAATATATATGCTATTTTATATTGTTATATATTATTATATTATGTTTTTTATTATAATATATACATATTACTAAAAACTTAGAAGTCAGCTGACTATAGATGTTAACTACATCCATAATATAACTTCACAGCCTCATCTAGGTTCATGTTTAATTGAGTCACTGGGTTATAGCCTGACCAAATTGACATATAAAACTAACCATATATACACATACAGAAAATATACCTATTCAGACCGTGTTCATTTTCCTTTTGAGATTTTCTTCCAAGAGCTCTTTATATTACTAGGTATATTAACCTTTTGTCATACATTTTGCAAATATTTTTCCTCTATCATTTCTCATTTGATCTTGTTTCTGATATCGTCTGTCAGCCAGAACAGTTTTATTTCTATGCAGTCAGATCTATTGATCTTTTTCTTTATGGCACCTGAATTTCCTGTCTCGTTGAGAAGGTTGCTCAGAGCCACATTAGGAGCTGTGGTAACCATCCCATTCATCTAGGTATGCTAAATGCTCCCCTGAATCATGGAGTCACAGGAAAGCAGTGCACTCAATGTCATTAGCCTCCACTGAGAAGCAGCCACTGACCTATGATGTAATGTTAGGCCCTGGCTTTTTGCAGGGGTCAATACAAAGGCTATAGGAAAGGCTTTGTCTCTTCTGCAAAATTACAGTGGCCCGTTTTGTCACGCAGGGCCCCTTGTATTAGAATCCACATAAGAGATCGGTCTCTGCATCCTATACCAGGAGTAAATACTCACAAACTGGAAGGACTCAGGCAAGAAGTACCACACACCCTCTCTGGCTTCCCATTTTGTCTTGACTCTCAGGAAATCTAGAGCCAAATGTGACGCCCAAATCAGGAACAAGCCAGCCTCATTCCAGGGCAGATTTCCTCAGGCACTGTCTTTAAGTGCCCTCTTGTATAAGTGGGCTTGCTGTAAATGACCTCAAGTCCCTTTTGGCACAAATGCGAACATAAACAAAATGACCTGAGAGAACAATGACACTTGTCTGACTGGTGGCCAGCTGACAGAGGTTTCTGTCACACCGTGATTGATTAGCATTTCCATAAATGCTCAGGAGGGAAGGTGCGGGGGAACACCTGCACCCCAAGCTGACATTCAGCTCATCCAAGCAGTGAGATTTAGAGCCTGCTTGGAGAAACTTCGGGAAAATCCTGGAAGCTGTGGAGAGAGAGACTCTACTGTTTATCTAAAGTGATGGATTTAGTAATGGACTTTTAGTAAAGTAATGAACACACCCCCAGCACTTTGGGGACCAGGTCTAGAATATAAATGGAGGCCCATATACCACATGTCTCAATATTTTAGTGTTTAAATCCAGCTAATAAACCACCCAGTCAAGTATCCTCTAGCTTCCTACCTTACCAAACACACCTTCCCACTGACCTGGCAGCCAGACTGGAATGTAGGATTCTCAGAAGTTCCACACCACAACGAGGCAGCCTAGTGACATCCGTCCAGGTCCTCAGCCCCCAGCCCCCAGCTGCCCTGCTGCTCTCTCCCTCCTGGACACCCCACACCCCTGTGAACACACCCCAGCCTTCATACCCAAGCTCTGCCCACATCCCTGCAAACAGCCACCCTTGACCACTCCTCAGGCGTGGGGGTGCGGCACGGGCAGTGAGTTTGCAGCAAAGTGTAGTCTGTCGGAGGGACACAGCCTTTGACCTATGGACCATTCATTTCACAGAGAAGGGCATAAATAGAAGAGGGCCAGGTCTCGGGGGGTCCTGGATTTAGGGGGAAATCATTCAATAATGTTTGTAAACTGATCAGCTCTGAGCCCTCCACTGTGGCCCAGAAAAAAGTTCCCAGAGTCATCAACTAATTCACATGTGATCATCTCTGCAGGGCTGCTGTTTCTAAAAAGGCCAATAGGAGAGCACTGGCCTGCCCCTGCCCCTGCCCCTGCCCCTGCCCCTGCCCCTGCCCCTGCCCCCAGGCAGGATTCCGCTGGATGGAAACCCTGGACTATGTCCCCACTGAACCAGAAAGGGTCCCAAGAAGATGGAGCTGTTTTCATTATGATGACAAAAGAAAGTGGTGGGAACCCGCCTTCCTGGAAAGGCAAAGGATGAAAGTGAAAATATTGGGAATCTGTTATATCCCTTAGTAAATGAACAAGGTGGACGTGGATGGTCTGACCCCTCACATTCTGGAATATTCTCTCTAGGAAGCACTTCTTCAAGCCTGAGGAAGTTGGATTTGATATGTAAATTACTAAAGTCACTATACACAACAAATAAATGGAGCCCTTTAACCAGGAGGAAACAAAAGCTGAATCAAATTTGGTTCAGGGGGTGGGGGGGGGCACCATCATCAGGGGACCTCCAAAGTCCGCATCATGACAACCTCGCATTTGCCCTGATGCCAGTTCAATGACACTGCTAGAGCCAAAGAGGGCTAGGGCCATGGGTCTGACCCAAGGAGGCCCTGTCCATCTTTAGGTTTTCACATTTTGTTTTTTTTTTGTTTTTACATTTTTGCAAATCCAGCTAAAGCCGGCTAATCTCCTAAACCTTCCCAATGCGCTTGAAGGCTCGCCTTTTGAAAGGGGCTATTGTTCACCTTGAAACTAAGGCATCTAGCCATTCATTCATTCATCCACTGAGGGCTCTCTGGGTACCAGCCTCTGGGTGCATGGGTATTTCTTCTCTGTTGCTTATGAGTTTCTCTCAAATACAGCACCTGAAGTTCAGTCTCATGCTCCCACCACTTTCTTCAAGTCCAGAAGTTCTTTCCCAAACTCTTGCTTCTCTTTGAAATATTGTCCTCTCTGGGCCTGGCTCCAGGGCCAAGCACAAACCCTTTCCAAGGCATATATCCAGATACCCCGGCTTTTTTGTTTATTATAGACTATTTTCTTAGACTTTCCCATACAGGAAACCCACTGTGTTAGTTCAAGTCTTCCCTCAAGCAGATGATGCCAAAAGGGAATTAAATGTGCAAGGATCTTATTAGGAGAAACACCTGTGAAAGAAATGGGGTAGGAGCCAGGGGAGGCAGGGAGAGCTTCAGACCACGAAGCAGGTCCAGCCACAAGTGAAGGCGAGAGGCAGGAAGCTTGTGTAGAAGTGTCAAAGACCGCCGTGCAGTCTCTGGAAGGTTCTGTAAAACTGAGGGAATCTTCCAGCCAAAGTCAGCCATGACGGGAGTCCTATGTCTCCCAGAAACAGGCCTGCCTCAGTGTCCCTGCCACACTCTGCCTTTGGCTGGGAATTGCCCCTGGGAAGCATGGCCTTGGTGCAAACACACCGCCGGTGGATGGCAGAGTATAGTAGCAGTGGGCTGAGTCTGCTCCGTCTCTGTGGTCAGAAGGCTGAGAGGCACATTCTCTTGGTCACCTCAGATGATCATTAACTTGGGGTGATATAAGACTTGCTCTATGTTTTTATGCCTTCTTCAGTATCTTCAAGATGAAATCAAGAGTTTGGCATGCGTGCATGTATGTGTTTCTGCACATGAGTGTGTCTGTATGTATATGTAAGCATGCACATGTGTACATGTGTTTAGAAGGAAGCTTCTCCCGCAGCCACAGCACCATCTCAGAACCCCAACCCTACTGCAGGCCCTCACCCCTCCGGTGCTCCTTTTCAGACCATCCTGGTGGGCGACAGCGGCGTCGGGAAGACATCTCTGCTGGTCCAGTTTGATCAGGGCAAGTTCATCCCAGGCTCCTTCTCGGCCACCGTGGGCATCGGATTCACAGTAAGCATCCCAGGCTCCGGGCCAGTGTGTCTGTTAGGGTCCCAGGAGGAAACAGATGGGCATTCGCCTGGGCTCATTCCAGACTGTTTACCAAGGTGTAGGCAGGGTGTAGAGAAGCCAGGAGGGGTGGTGCAGTGCCCTGAGCAGTACAAGCCTCCATCCCACCCGAGCCTAAAATGCAATAGGTAAGAGGAGGGAGCTGACCAGGGACAAGAGAGCTGTGGGGCGAGCGGGCTGGCAGGGGCCAGGACCTCCTGCAAACAGCCCATAACAACCCTCCCAGGGGGAGGTGGCTGAGCAGGAAATCCTCCCCTCCCACACCGCTCTCCTGCTGCATCCCAGCTCCTTGTGGGGCCCCCCATGGGCTGAACATAGCCAGACACTAGAAAGCCAGGGAATGTCTTGGTATAGATTGCTCAGGCCAATCTTCCGGGGCAAGAAGAATCTGGAGAGGCAAAGGGGTGGTTAAAATTTAAACACAATCCAAACAGCATTGTCTTGTGGGTCTGAGGGGGCCAGCCGGCCAAGGGTTAAAGTTCAGTGTGTCTAGCACTCTCCCTGGACACAGCACAGCAGAGAAACTCAGATAAAGGAAGTATTCTCAACCCACAGCCCCTCTGTGGGCTGAGAAGTCCTGCCCCTACTACACATCCTTTCCCGCCTCTTTCCCCATGCCGGCTGGCTGCCTCGGTGACCGTGAGTCCTGGGAGGGCTCTGGCGGTGGTGTCGCTCGTGGCAGGAGCAGAAAGGCTCTCTGTTGGTGTCCCCAGAATCCTAGCATCTGGAGATGGGGAAGAGCAGACGGCATTGCTTGGGCAGTGAAGGCGATGGAGAAGCCGTCCTCTTGAAAGGAGCAGAGCACAGGGCCTGTGGGGCCACACCCAGGGTCGGGCACAGCAGAGCCATGCTGGTGGGGAGGAGGGGAACCCCAGGACTGGAGTGCTGAGAGGGCAGGGCTGAGTCCCAGGAGGGCAAGGCTGGCCTGACAATCCTGAGGCCCTGAGGCTGGACAGGCTTCCGTGAAGGGAGCTGGGATGCCTGGTGCCAGGTGTCCCCTGTGGCAGACCCATGCCCGGCCTGACCCCCAGCATGCAGGGCACATGGCACCTCCCCCACGGCATGCCCATCCTTCCACCTGTCAGATTCAGAGGGTGGAGAGTGGAGTGGGGGTGGGAGTAGGTGCACAAACTCTGATTCACATTCCACAGATGCTCCAGGGTGGGACCCCCAAATTTTGCCACTAACCTGGCAAGGAAAGTGAAGTAACTCACCCACAAGGGAGAAGAAAGCATGAGTCAGAGTGAGAACCTGAAGCTCCGAGATGGGCCAGGCAGGCCCCCCACCTCCCCTTTCAGAGCCGCGGTGTTTCGCCGCAGCGGTCAGAACCAGGAAGGCTGGACTCACCTCAGAACAAACCCATGGGCGGCTCACGCTGAGTGAGGGTCTGGGGGACCAACCCGGGCCTCAGCCTGGGGTCACCTGGGTCAAAAGTATGACCTGGGAACACAAATGGATACATACCCTGCTCCTCAGAGGGGACGCAAACCCAGGAGCCCCCCACACTCTGGTGGTGGGGGGCAATGACAGCAGCCAGTGATGGGAGCCACATCGAGGACACGTGACCGACGTAGTCCCCGATACAGCTGCTCTCTTACAGGCAGAACACTGGGAAAAGGCTCCTCCCAAGCCCCCTTCCCGCTGTGCCGCCTAGTGCTAGGGACCCTCCATTCCTTTCCTTTCCAGAGACAGTTCTCTTTCCAACCCTCTGCCCAGAGAAGCTGGATCTTTGCCCAGCAGCTAAAGTCTCTGAAGTCACACTGAGCAAAGGGACTGGAGGACATTGGGGTGTCCTTCAAACATCAGTGGTCTGGGGGTCCCTGGAGCGCCAGGCTACAACACGCCTGCGTATTCACAGAGACTTTAAATACGGCTCGCAGCCAGCAGTTTGCAGGTGCCCTGGCTGGCTACAGCTGTGGCCTGGAATTCCTGCGTGATGGTCACAGGCAGAAGGGGCCATGGAGGGTCCTGCCGGCCCATAAGGCTGAGTGCAGCCTGGGGGACAGGAGATGGAAGCACTCGGTGATCTTCCACTTTAAAGAGGTGGAGGTGAGGGAGGGGTGATGACCTGGGGTGTGCTCTCCAGCCAGCTTCCAGGGCCTCTGGCGGGACCCTCGCCCCAGAAAACGCCAGGCCCTTGCCTTCTGGAAGTGGGGCCTGTCCAGATCTACCCAATGCCTCCATCTTGCACTCCATCAAGCTGGCTGCTGAGCCCTGCTGATGGGTGTTTTGGGGTGCCAACCCTGACGGGGTTCACACAGCAGTCCTCCCAGCCAGTCCCTCTCCCACCCAGCTCAGGTCCTCCTGAGACTTCCTACCTGTGCTCCCCAAATTCTCCAGTCCTGCACGGAAACTGCTGCAAAATTCGCTCCTCAGAAGCCTTGCTCTGTTCAGCGCCCACCCAACACTTTCAGTGGCCACTGCTGCCTCCCAAACACGGTCTGAATCCAGCTGGTCAAGACTTTGCACCGCTGAGGCCGGCAGGTTTCAGACACTCATTTCAGGCACATAGAACCTCCAGGCAGAAGTCTGTCTGCAGTGCAGATTCCAAGCCCCCTGCCGACATGCAGTAGGGACCAGAGTCTACACTGTGACAGGCACCTGAGGACTCTCATGCAGGTAGCCCATGTACCACATTTTGAGAGACATGAGTTTAGGCCTCAGCCCTCCAGCCTCTGTCCCAGTCGCCCTTCCACATGCCAATGCTGCCTCTCTGGGCTGGCTGTTGGCCCCCTAGCCCTGGGCTCTTCTTCCAGCCCCCTGGCTTGCCCCCTCTGTTCACACCTGGATGTCAGGGAGGACCCCCCAGATCCTCAGCTGCCCACAAGAGCCCTCCTCTGAACGAGGTTTTCTGGTGGTACTCATAATCTCTCTGTCAGGAGGGGTATGTGAACATGTGGTGCCTGGGGCAGGGGTATCATTAGGGGTGACATGGGGGGGTGCATTCAGGGTTTGGGGTGGTGAGAGGGGCTGGGGTAATTTAAGAGATGCTTTATTTGGAGGGTATCAGTGCATTTGAGAGGATGTGAGGTGTCAGGGCAACTTAGATGGTGTGTGGTATGATTTGAGGTGTGTGTGGTGTGAGGCGTGTGTGTGTGGTATGAGGTATGTGGAGAGCACACGGGAGGCCTGGGCTTCCCTGAGGCCTTCTCCTGGCACCACATCTGAAGGGTCCCTCTCCTGGTGAGTTGTGCTTCCTCCCTCCCCCCTGCACCTCCCAACTCTGAACATCTCTGGCCCCTCCTGCTTCTGACTCACTGGAGGCTGCCCTTGAACACCCATGTGACACTTGTCTTGTCGCTAGGGACAATGCACGGCATACTCTGCTTACAAGCTTGCCCACACGGCCCAGACCCCACAGGCCAGCCAGCCATGGCCCGAGGGCCTGCTATGCCTCTCCCTACTTGGAGACTTCTTTCCTCAGTCCCATTAACCCAGCCAAACTCTAGCGCAGCCATGCAGCAAGACAGCGCTTATTCCTCTACTCCTGGAGTTCACGCTGATGTTCAGCCTGCTCCATTCTGAACCTGTCACAGGACAAAACAGTCTTGGTCAAGTCAACAACACAACAACAGAGGCGGGAGAGAAGCCCAAAGCCAAGAAGCCGGCAGGGCCGTGCACCCTCTGGGGGCTCCAGGGGATGCTCCTTCCTGCTCTCCGGGCTTCTGTGGGCGCCTGGCCATCCTGGGCATCCATGGCTTGTGGATGCCTCACTCTGAGCTCTACCTCTGTCTTCACATGGTCTTCTCCCCTGTGTGTCCTCCCCTTTTCCTGTAAGGACACCAAAAACATATCTTTAGAGGGACACCACGTGACCCATAACAGCATAATTTGCAGGGGAAGGTGAGTGAGGGCCATGCCACTTCCCCTCTCTTTCCTCCTTAGCCATGACCCTCTTTCACTGAAAACTCTCGGCCCTGCCAGGTCCCTGTGCGATCCCTGGGGAACCTGGAGCCTGGGGCATGGAATGCACTGGGGTGTTATTTGCAGTACAAGCCCTGACATCCCAGCAGGGGGACGCAGGTACTGGGCAGCCTCTCCCAGTTGTGGCTCCCTCCGTGGGCCCCACCCTATGTGCAGATGAAGTCACAGTACACCCACCTCCAGAAATAGCTCCAGCTGAGACTGAAAATCAGAGGGCTGGAGGCGGTTATACTCACTCTCCCCACAGGGCCTACAGTCGCTCATAAGCCACACCTGCCCCTTGCCTCCACCCTCAGCTCCTAAGTACAGCTCAGTGCACGTGCCCCTTCATGCCGCTCGGACAGTCTCTTTGTAATGCACACACCCTGGTCCCTGGAAAGTTGAACGTCTTGTATAGAATGGTGGGACACGGGTAACTGAATGGTGGGCCCAGGCCACAGAGCCCCTGTATTCTGCTATGGGCAACCCAGGACCCACTCTCACCCTCCCTCACGGGGAGCTGCAGGGTTCCTGGCATGTCCGGGACTCTGCTCAAAATGGTCCACGACTTCATGAATTAATTTGATACCAAACATTTAAGGCCTACTTGATGGGTGCCCGTGGTGGAAGCCCACACGTGAATAAAGCCAGCCCTGTTTTCAAGAGCACGTAGATTGGGAGGCATGAGCAGGGAAGGCATTCCAATGGTGGGACATTTTGGACGCAGCCCAATAGGCCAGGGAGAAATAAGAGGTGATCTACACTAAAGGGTCAAAGTGTGAACACTGACCAGGGGTCCCAAAAAACCACAGTGCAAATGTGCTTCGGGATGAATATCGGTCTGTAGGTAAAATTATATTCAGAGGAGCTCGGGCTGGAGCACATTATAAGCAAAAGAGAAAATGCCTGGGCGCTGTCCTCAGAATGCAGGCCTCCGCTCAAACTCAGACCCGGGCTGGCCAGGGGCGTCCCCAACCTCCCTGCCCCCTGTGGACCGCCAGCTGGGCAGGGCTCGGGCGCCGCCTGCTGGCAGGCAGCGGGAACCCGGGCGCCGGTCCGCCGGTTCCAGCGATGCCAGACCTTCCGCCTCAGACCGGGTCCCTAGGGACTGCTGCCGCGGGAACCTAACCCCAGCGGCTGGAGATGTTGCGGGATCGGTCCTGGGGCTGGATCTGGCCCACGCCCTCAGACCACAGAGCAGAGCCAGTGTTGTCCAAGGGACCCGCCGACCCCTCGGGCGCTGACCCTGCGGTCCTGCGCTCCCTCGCGGGACAGCCCGCTCAGGGTGTGGGTGGCGGGACAGAGGGAGGAGCCTGTTGGGATCCGGACCAAGGCAGTGAAGGGAGGAAGGACGGGGCGGAGCCTAAGGCAAGGCCACTCCTGCACGGTCCCTCGCCTGCCGTCGGCCCAGCTCCCGCTCCTCCAGGGACATGATGGGCACGCCTGGCTCTGCAGCCGCCCGGGAAGGCGAGGCCCCAGACCGCTCCCCGCCCTGCAGTCCGAGCTACGATCTCACGGGCAAGGTGGGTGAGCAACGCGCCCAGTGCTGGGGACTGTGGTGAAGGAGATGAGGGCCACCCCTCTCCGCTCCTTTTGCCCTGGGACCCCGGCCCTCCCCGAACCAAGCCTCTTTCTGGCTCGTCTGCGTTGGACTCAGTCCTTCCCCCAGGCGGCCGGATCTCCCAGAGTAGAGAGGGAGGGTCGAAACACCACCCAGGGACCCATGCCAGCGTCTAGGGATCTGGGCTGGCTCTGCAAGGGCGGGGAGAGGAAGGTCTGAAGCACGGACTTATTACCAAGCGGACCCTAACCCAGTTTTTTTTCTGCCATACTCCGACCAGTATAAATTCCCAGGGGCGACCCATGCTTCTCAGTAAGGATTAAGCGCACAACTCTCCTAGGCACTTGCGCCTGTAGTTCTAGGAAATAAGGATGCCTGCAGCCTCGGAGGTGACGCCCCCTGGTGGCAGAGCAATTCGCGGGTAATGCCCTTTACCCAGCTGAGCTCTCAGCCTGAGACCTGACATCCAGTTTCAAGGTCTTAGGCCCAAAACTCTTTAGGTCCCCAGCTGCCCCAGGTCCTATTCCCTTCTCGCTCCACTGTGTCAGGCTCTGCCTCACATCTTCTTCCAGGAGAATGCTGCTGGCCAGAATGTGGGCCCACCTGGGAATTTTTAGTTACAAGTTCCCCACCTGGGAGAGCTGAGCCAGCTCTCAGGCGTTCCCTGTACAGGGTGGCTGTACAGAAGCGAGTGAGGGTGGCCGGCGACCCTCTCTCCAGGCCTTTGGAGCCAGCAGGCACCAGGAGCTCCGAAAGAGGTGCTGAGGGGCCCAGAGCCTCCACTCTCCGTCTGTTGGGCAGTGGGCAGCTGAGTGATAGCTGGATGTCCAATGCTGCGAGACCTTGAAGGAGGCCTGCCTCCTTCTGTGCCCTGGTTTCACTCTCCCACACCAGGGCTCACTCTCACTGGGAGCCTAAGGCCTGCACCCCTATTGTTTCAGGGGAAGCCACTCTGCAAGTCACACCCAGAGCCGTTGAGATAAGCGTCTTGCGGGAGGAAGTGGGGCTCTTTGTCTTTGGGTCAGGCCAGGGAGTTGCTGAGGGCCAGTCCCCAGGCTCGTATGGACCACCTGACCTCCTTGCTTGACAAGCCAGCTGGGCTCTTTGCCTAGGAGGTGGCAAGGCTGGGCAGCTGTTTGTGTTGGGTGGAATTGCCTGGCTGGGTGGCTGGCGTCGTTTGCTCGAGGCAGCTGTGATCTGTAAACAGGAGCTCACCCTCCCTTCGTCCTTCCCCCCGTGGGGGCTGGGACCCAGGAGCCAAGGACCAGTGCAGACTCCAGAGAGCTCCCAGGCCCCCAGCCCTCCATCTGTCCCCTGGGCCAAATATCATTTGCTGAGAGTCACACAATGCCCCAGGAGACTGAATCCAGAACAGTCTGAGGGGAACCTGGCAGAAGCTCCTCGAGCCAGATGAGAGGGGATGGGGGCCACAGACAAGCACTGGGGTCTACCTGGGCCATTCTTCCCTGAGTCTTAGGTGGTTCGTGCCAACATTATTGGTTCTGGTCATTAACAGATAGAAAGGCCTCCAAGAAATTTCCCCTCCTCCCTTCTAGCCACTATCCACTCCCTTCTAGGGTCAAAAGAATCTTCCCCAAACCCCTAAGTAGACCATTTATGAGGCAGGACCCCAGCCTTCATATACCTTTTGCTCAGCCCCTCCCACCACTTCCATCTAAGTCAGCTAATTCCAATACCCCACACCCACAGCAGGAAAAGCTTTGGGCTCCATTGTCAAAGTCAGAGCCCCCAAAATAACTCAAACCTAGTCCCTGCTCAACCCATGAAGTATCTAACCAGCCACTTGGGAGAGTTCCAGCATTAGGTCTAGACCTCTGCTCTCCAAGACTGAGGAACGAGTGGACCGAGGGCTCCCCTCCCTGACCCCAACTAGTACCCCAGGGAAGATGAGCAGAGACTGGCCAGACAGTAAAGGGGAGGGATACACCTACCTTCCTACTGGATTGTGGGTCACAAGTTCCTCTTCCCTCCCCACAGTGACCCAGGGAGGCCAATTTGCAGCCATTTGTGCCACTTGGAAGGTTTCTGCTGAAAGAGCTTCAGGCTAAACGTTTCCCCACTTCAGTATAAATTTCAACCTTCCCTAATTCATGTAGCCATTTTAGAAACCTCAGATGTCACTAGAATCTTCCAAGTAGTTGTGACCAAAAACCCATAATTTTAGAATATTCCCCACCCTCATCAGAACTCCATACACTCCCATGGGTGGGAATCCCACCCATCCTGGCAGTGTAGCCCCGCCCACATGTGGACAGCTGCCTGCAGGACATGCCACCCAGGAGGGAATCGCTGCGTGCGGTGGCAGGGAGCAGACATGGCCAGAGTCTAGACCACACAAATGGTTCTCTGGGACCACTGAACACACCTGGAGACCTGTTTGTGCTGAGGTCTCAACACTGCTTCCAGGAGACTGGGTGAGGACAGGAGAGTCAGTGGGAGAGCCTGAGACAGCTGAGCCAGGAGTGTGGAGAGGAGAGGCAGGGGAGGGCAGCAGCGGCTTTCCCAGAGCAGGTGCCCCTCAGTGCTGCGGAGGGCCTCCCCAGGCCCTCTGCCCCTCTGCCCCTCCTTGCAGGGCTTCTCTCCCTGGAAGCCCAGAAACTGCCCCGACTCCCCATTAACTGCCTCTGCCCCCATCTCCTAGGTGATGCTTCTGGGAGACTCAGGTGTCGGCAAAACCTGTTTCCTGATCCAATTCAAAGACGGGGCCTTCCTGTCCGGGACCTTCATAGCCACCGTCGGCATAGACTTCAGGGTGAGGTGGCAGCAGGCTCCTCCTCCAAGCAGCAAGCCAGGGGGACTTCAGCTCCAGCAAAGGGGTGCTGCCCCCTCCTGGCTCCCCTGGCTCCTCCGGACTGCTGTGGCTCACTGCCCAGAGGGCACCAGGGGTGCTCCCGTAAGGACCACAGAGGTGGCAGGGTTAGAGGAGTCTGGGCTCCTTGCCCACTTGTAGGATATGAGAAATGAGAGACAGTCTTAAAATCCTGCCCCAGAGCAGGACAGACCCATCTCCCAGTATGAGTTGAGTTTCCCAGTCCTTGGACCCCTTGCTCATTACCTTCTGTCAAGGCCTCAGAAGTCAACCAGCCTTTCTGGAGTTCCCAGGAAGCACAGGAGAGCAGTAGGTTGAAGAGCTTGGCTGGCCGTGCGGGAGAGAGCAGCTTGCCCGTGTCCCTCCTTCTCACCTTAATGAGCCCTTCTTTACAAATCTGCATCAGGGAGACTGAGCACTGAGCACTGCACACCAAAGGGTCCAGGAGGGTGAGGGTATAACCCTGACAGGGGGGCTCTGCAGAGGCTGGGTGCCTGCCTCCTGGTGGGAGGGGAACTGAAGCTTCGCTCCGGAGAATGAGTGGGCAGCCAGATGAGAGATGACCTGCAGACCCGGCCTCTGAGGTCCCCGGGATGCTGCTGCGCATCTCATCTCTAAGGACTCGGTTTTGAGGGTGAGGCTGAGCTCTGGGAGAGGCAGGTGGGAGTGGGAAAGGGGCAGGGTCCCCAGTGCCCAACCTTGGACTGCCTGCTGAGGCAGGTTCTCAGTCTCCCCATGGCTTGGCAGGTTGTAAGAAGAGCAGATATAGTCCCAGAGGAGAGGGTTCTGCACGGGGGCTCTCTGGAGATAGGGTCCTGGTGCCCTGATGGGGTGATACGGCTCCCCACACCCCCTCTAGCCAGGAGGAGCAGCCAGGACAGGAGAGGATGTCAGCAGAGCACAGGAACCAAGCCTCCCCTGCCTGGTGCACCCACCCTCTCCCCCTCTGCCCTTTTCTCTTTCAGAACAAAGTGGTGACCGTGGATGGGGTGAGGGTGAAGCTACAGGTGAGAAAAGAGGCTCGAGGGTGGGGGTGGGGAGAAGGGAGGAGCCTGCCTTTGCTCCTCACCCCAACTGCAGGAGGCCTGTGGCCCTGCCATCAGCCTGGGGTAATTTCCTGTGGGGCCCGCAAGACAGGAAATGGCTTCTGTTTGTTTGATGTCTGCAGAAAACAGTTCCCAGGCACCCTCTGCTATCAAAGGCAACTCAAAGTGCCTTCAAACAAGCTTAGGCTCACCCCACCTCCTCCCCAGTTTCCTGGGCCTCATCTGTTCTAGGAGGTTGGACACCCCCCAACCCCTGGGCTAGGGAAGAGGCTACAGCACTAAATGAACTTGAGAGCTCAGTAATTCCACCCTCCAGGAATCCCCAGATGTTCAGAAGCCCTGAGAACCTAAAGCAGGAAATACCCCCCTACCCACACATGTCTCATACCACAGCATGGGTTCCCTCTGCCCAGGACGGTTTCTGCACCCTGCTTCCTTTGATGGTTTGTCCATTCCTTCCCAGATCTGGGACACGGCCGGGCAGGAGCGGTTCCGCAGTGTCACCCACGCTTATTACCGAGATGCCCAGGGTAAGTCCTTCTTGCCCTCCAGCTCCTTCCCCCAGCCCACTTGTAACACCCATCCTTCTGCCCCAAGTCCCCTGTGTGATCTCTCTGTCCCCTGTAGCCTTGCTCCTGCTGTACGACATCACCAACAAGTCTTCCTTCGACAACATCCGGGTAGGTCCCATCTACCCACTACCCATAAGCATCCAAGGCAGAGCCTCTGCGGGCACAACTGCTTCCTGCTTTGTGGAAGGGGATGGAGCATGGAATACTGCTGCCTTCTAAAACACATGAGATGTGACTCAGAAGTAATAAACTGCTGCTGGGTATTTGATTGACGTGTGGGCAGAGAGGCCAGACAGGCCAGACAGGCTGTTGTATGCCTGTACCATCTGCTTCGCCCTGTGATTCCTGAGTGCATTTAATTGACACGGTGTTCAGAAAGTATCCAGCTCCACGCTGGACAGTTGCCCACAGAGACCAAGGAAAGAACCCACAGAAAAGTCTATCCATACAAACAGGCCAAGTTGTAAGAAAGTCAGTCAGGCAGACAGTAAGTGGCTCTGTCCTCACAAACAAACTATTAGAGAGTAGAGACAATAATTCAACAAGTACATGCACTGACCCTATGCATCGCACTGTGAAGGTTTCACATGCTCCCTGACCTCAAGGGGTTGACCAGCAAACTTGGGGAACAATTTGTGTATATATATATATATATAAAACAGCTCATAGAGGACAGAAATCCATGGAACTCATGCTGCCACCTCCAACCCCATGTTCATGGCAGACATCACTAATCAATCATAGTATTCTTGATCACTGAGCCCTATGTGTCCTAAGAAGCACTCCAGGAAATCACTGGTGACTATCAGCTGATTTTTTAGGTAAAACCTCTGCCATCTCTATCTCCCATAGAACTGGGAGTTGCACTGCATGGGGTTTGGTGGGGAAGGCCACTCAGGACTGTAGAGGCCAGAATAATGATGCAGATGAGAGAATGCAGAGGGCATCATGTTCAGGGGGCAGTGAGAAGCTCAGCAAAAATCAAACAAGGCAGAAGAAGCAAGGGTGAGAGGGAGGGAAAGAATGGCTGGTGCGCAGCCTTGGCCTGGCTCAGCTCAGCCTTTCCCACAGGCCTGGCTCACTGAGATTCATGAGTATGCCCAGAGGGATGTGGTGATCATGCTGCTAGGCAACAAGGTGAGTGGTTCCATGGCAGGGTCAGCCCATCCTGGCACCTCTTCTCCCACTGCCCCACAGCATTGGCTCCACCCAGCCCCATAGTTGCCCAGCTCAAGAGTGTTGGCTGGATATTCTTCCAGCAAAGGATTCTTTCCAGTCTCCAGTTCAAAGGGCACTTCAGCCCATGTCATCTGTCTTCTGAAAACTTTGGAAGGGGCCCCCTCCAGGGAAAGCCCAAGCTGCTGCCCAAGAGATCCAGGGATGCCCAGCTGCTCAGCCCTCATTTGATCACAAAGTAGAGTCACAGATGAAGATCTAAGATTGGAAAGGATTAGCCCAAACTACTGTTACCCCTCTGATTATGGTCACTACACCTCTGCTAAGGAGAGTTTCTACTTCCCCTAGTGGGTGTGAGATTCCCAGGTTGGGAGCTGGATAACGCAGCTGGACCAAGGCAGAAGCCCTGGCCCCATGTCAATTGTACTGCCCGCAGACCCAGAGGCTACCAGCAGAGGGCGGGCAGTACCTGCTCCTGGGGCAAAAGAGGGCCCGCAGGGGCAGAGAGGGGCCAGCTGGGGTCAAGATTTCCTTCTCCAGAGTGACCCACCTGGGCTTGACAGGCAGATGTGAGCAGCGAAAGGGTGATCCGTTTGGAGGATGGGGAGACACTGGCCAGGGTAAGTGTCTGCCGGTGAACGGGGCGGGGCAGGGGTGGGGCAGCCAGGGGCTGGCCCTGTGAACTCTCTCTGACAGGAGTATGGGGTTCCCTTCATGGAGACCAGCGCTAAGACGGGCATGAACGTGGAGTTAGCCTTTCTGGCCATTGCCAAGTAAGAGCTGAGCAAGGGAAGGAAGCGTGCAGGCAGGGCGGCACCATCTGGGAATCCAGTAGGGCCTGGCCCTGGTGCAGCCCCTGGGCCCAGCTGCATTGTGCAGTCAAGTCCGTTTGCCCTGGGTCATGGCGGTGGGGAGGATGCTCAGCTCCTCACTCCCTGCCTAACCCATTGCTTCTTCCTTTTCAAGGGAACTGAAGTACAGAGCCAGGCGGCAGGCCGATGAGCCCAGCTTCCAGATCCGAGACTATGTGGAGTCCCGGAAGCAGCAGGCCAGCTGCTGCTCCTTCTTGTGAATCCCAAGGGGTTGAGAGGAGGCTCTAGAGGCCCACAAGGATGCAGCCTTCTCCCCAAGACCTGGTTTATTCTGAGCAGCTGAGCCAATGGGGAGGCAGTCAGGGGCCCAGTATGCAGCCCCTTCCCAAGGGGAAGCTGTATTGCCTCCCTTCCCTTTGTTCCTGTAGCTTCCCTGCAACTGGGAAAGCGTAATATATTTATATTTCATTTTAATGATACATAATGTAATACAAAAGAAGGGCACCAGGAACCCTAAGAAGGGAACTGGTGGCCCCTTTGCCGTCTAATACTCGAACTTTGGGGGCTGGACCTACCTCCCAGCCATAATGAGGGTGCTATTGCTCCAGCTCAGCACTAGGGGGCACTGATGCACCCCTGGGGTTTGAGGGCAGGACCCTCCCCATTCCCACCCTTTGGCTGGAGAGGCTGAGCAGACACCAGCCCTCATGTCCTCCAGCTCCCTAGGGAACAATCTTCCCCAGTAAGACAGGCTCTTGTGCTGGGGGGCTAGACCAAAGCCTCAGGGAAGATAAGAGATATGGAGATTGGGCAGCCTCTCTCCCTAGGAAGGGGACAGAGGACTAGCAGACTTGGTCTGTCTGTTTGGCCTTACTAGCCCCACTCTGGGTGGTATACCCCTTTTCCTCCAACCCATAAGCACATTGGGGTGCCTAGAAACATTTGGTTCCTATTCTCTGGACCTCAGATCCCAGGGGAGCCCTTTGTCTCTGAATCCCTGGTCTTATCTACTTTTCTGCCTCTGCCTCTAGACACCTAAGGTCACAGCTAGGCAAAGGTTTCTGTTCAGTCCCAACCCTTTGGTAGGTATGCAGCCCCACAGGCTACTTCTGCAAGCAGCTGTTGTGCATCTTCTGTGTTAAGAGCCAGATAAGGAGAAATCCCTGGCTCCTGGGGAGGTGGGAGTCAGAAGTGAACAAACCTCACCACACGCAATCCCCTAAATCCAAGCACTGCCTTCTCCCTGACCACCCATGTCCTTTTCTTCTTGGACACACCAAACTGCTTTATCTTCCAACTCCTAGTGAGCCAGGTTAGGGAGTGAGAGGTCATCCACTTCTGGGTAAACCAACAGGAGGTGTGCAAAACAAGGTCATGTAGGTGAGACTGGGGTGGGGAGAGGAGCAGCAAGGAGTTTACGTGGGGTCAAGGTCACATGTCCCAAAGCCCTGACCCTAGCAATTGCAAGTGGACAGGAAGGAGACATGCAGGCCACGGCCTAGAGATATCTTTCCTCCAGCTCTCCAGGCAGGGGCAGGGGAGAGGGGTGAGAAAAAAGTATGCACTGCACATTTCTGAAGTTACTGCATTTGCTTTCAAGGCAGAAATCTGCTCTCTGAGCAGTCAGCAGCTCCAACTCGGGCCGGATAGGGAAGCTCTCTGAGGCCTCTCCCGGGCACAGTAGGGAGGAGACTGACTTTGCCAGGCTTTTCTGGGACCCAAGGCAGGTCACAGGCGATCCAATCATGTAGGCTGCTCTGGGCTTCTAGCATATGTGTTTTTGAGAATTAAATAGCAGTATTTTGTGAAGTACACGCTGTCCCCTGCTTCTTTGAGGTGTGCATGGGAGGGAGAATCATGTTGAAAGGACTGCTATTGTGTGTTGAGAAATGTTTAAAACAAAAAATTCATACAAGTAAATTTGAAGATCTAATTGGCTTTATTGAACTATTCATGAATCGAGCAGCATCCACTCTAGAAAGTAGAGAGTTGCTCTGAGAAATTGTAGAAAATGGAAGGTTTTTATACACAGCTGGTGGTTGGGGGGGATGGTTTATTAGCAAAAGAAAAGTAGGGATTATTTCAGACAAGGTCACTTTGTCTTCAGGGGAAGAGCAGGGGTTCTTATAATGCAGATTCCTTCATCTTCTTTTAAGATGGAGAGACCTCATTTGACAGATTATTTTATCAAAGATGATAACCAGAAAACTCCTGACTGACTACTTTTCTTGGGAAGGTTGAAACCGTAATTGGCTTTAAGTATTAAGCCCCTGGTTCGGTGTCGTAGCCTACCAGAAGTGACTCCATGTTGGCCCTGTGCTTTCTTTTTAACAGGGAACTATCACCGACTGCCAAAATAATTTGATCCAATGTTCCCAACTGGTCACCTTACCCTTAACAGACTGCCCCAGCCTCTGTGACCAGACTCTCTCCAAGGAGCTGAAAGGTTTATCTTAATGGCCCTAATCGTTTTTATTTCTCTATTATAAAAAGCGAGGGCTCCTTTCCCTGTGGATGGCACCCAAAGATTGGTTCCCTGACTCTGTTCCACCTCTCTCAACCCCACCTCCCTAGTCAAACGCTGATGCCAATGCTCACGCCTTTGCTCTAGGTGGCCTGTCTTCAGTGGGGAGCCCTGCGAAGCCTGGGCTCGCTCTCTGCTGAGCCCTCACATGGTCCCAGCGAGGATCAGAGCCCGCACCCCTATGAGCAGGTCCTGGGACAGAGCAAAGTGACTCCACAAATGGAAAAATATCGGTATTCAGACAACTCTGTTAAGTCCCAGGTGGACCTCTGTCTTATTCGTAAGACCTCTGGGACCTCCCAGTCCCAGAGCAATAACTTGTTTCCTTGGCAACAGTCGCCCACCCCACCCCAACCCATTGGAGATGCACACAGGTTTTGGCTAAAGGCTGTTAAAACATTAGGGTCCTTTATCCGGGAGATGGCTCTCCTCAATTCCCGCCACAGGCTGGGAGAACTAGAACGGAGCCTCCTGGCCCCTCCGCCCAGTACTGGGAACTCGCCCCGCCTCACGCCCCAACTCCTGCCTCTTGGTAACAAACACTTCCACTTCCTGAGCCCTCTTTCTTCTCCCGCCGCGGGGTGCCGCGCTAAGCTCAGGGTCCCGCCCCCGTGTGTTCCCATTGGCCAGCGTAGTTCACCAGGCCCGAGCGCCCTACCTGTGATCCCTGATTGGTCCGTGGAGGTCCACACCCTCGGCGCGGCCCCGCCTCCCGAAATAAGAGGCCGGAACGAGTCGTGGAACTCAGACGCCGCGCGAGGCGTAGATTGGCCCGCGCGTTCCCGTTTTGGACCCTCGCAGCTGGCGGTCGCCGCTGTTGGGACACCTGCGCGATCTACCTGTCCTGAGGCACGGGTATTCCCTGTTGCGCTCCCTCTCACCTCCCGGTCCGCAGACCGTCCCACCTCCAGCCCCCCGACGGAATCCCGCATCGCGCCGCTGAGCTGTCGCAGGGCGAGATGAGCTCGGACGCAGAGGCTGGGGCGCCCCTGCCCCGGCTCTGCTGCCTGGAGAAGGGTCCCAATGGCTACGGCTTCCACCTGCACGGGGAGAAAGGCAAGATGGGCCAGTTCATCCGGCTGGTGGAGCCTGACTCGCCAGCCGAGAAGGCGGGGCTGCTGGCCGGAGACCGGCTGGTGGAGGTGAACGGTGAGAACGTGGAGAAGGAGACCCACCAGCAGGTGGTAAGCCGGATCCGCGCCGCGCTCAACGCCGTGCGCCTGCTGGTGGTTGACCCCGAGACGGACGAGCGGCTGCAGAAGCTGGGTGTCCAGGTCCGGGAGGAGTTGCTGCGCGCCCAGGACGGGCCCGGGCAGGCCGAGTCGCCGGCAACCGCTGAGGCGCAGGGGACTGGCAGCCAAAATGAGCCGCAGGCCGCCACGCCAGAGTCACGCGAGGCCGAGAAGAGCCATCCGGAGCAGGTAAGTGCGCCGGGAGGCGAGGCTGGAATGGAGTGGGAGAGGGGGATCGGGGAGAGTCCCACGCGTTCCCGGATGCCCCGGCGGGTGCCCGCCTGTTCTTTCTGAAACTCGATCCTCGAGGGGGAGCCTCCTTCCGCCCTCTGGCCGGACGTACTGGCAGTTACAGGCTTTGGGCTGCGTCCCCGCGACACGCACCCCGTCCCCAGACCGGACTGGTACTCCGAGGCCCTTGCCACCTGCACCTCTTGTCCCTTGGGAGTGGGGATGAGGAAGGGCGGCTCAGGGGCCCAGTCCCCTTTTCCTCGACTCTGTTGGTGCGGTTCTACGGAACCCCCTAGCCCCGCCCCCCCTAGGGTCGGCTCCTCGGCCACCCTACTCCCAACCGCCCCAGAGGTGCCAGCTTCCTCCACCGCCCCGACTTCAAAAAGCTGGAGGAGTAACAGCCTCTTCCTGCTCAGAGCCCAGGCTCTGGGAGCGGAGGGACGCAGGCATAGTTGTCCCCGCACCCCATCCGCTGCTGTGTGTATCAGTAACTTCAGCCCGGCCGGACTTCATCCTCCCCCTGAAGTCGGTGTGCCTTCTAAGAAAGAGGGGAAGCCCCACCGTCTCAAGGCGATGCGTGGGGGTGGGGTACGGGAGGAGGCGCAGAGGCTACCGAGGTGGGGTGGGGGACGGCCCTGCCACCCAGGAGGATTTATGAGGCCCAGGAATGTGAGGAGTAAGCGCTAGCTTGTATCTGGCCGCGGGAGGGAGGACCTTGGAGGAGGAGAAATGGCTACGGGTAGGGGGGGGTGTCCCGCGGCCCTGGGCCCAGGAGCGGCCACAGGAGCTCACGACTGGCAAGTAGTTTGCTCTGTCTCCAGGCCCAGACAGTAAGCAAGCTGGTGGCTTGTTGCCCTTGTTTGGTGTTTCCCCAAACAATCCCAGTTTGGATCAGCTGCCGGAGGGGCAGTGGCAAAACAGGAGTTGTGCTGAGGCTCCTGTCCCCAGAGAATGAAGGGGAGGCCTCAGGATGCAGACTTCTGGGGGGCAGTGCCTGGGTCTCCCCAGGGCCCATTTGGCTTGCACCAGCTCTCAACCTGGTGGCAGCGTGTGGCAGGGGTGTCCATGGTGGCAGCAGGAGCTTCCCTGGACAGAGAAAGGGCACGGTTCAGCCTCAAGGTAGGAGGTGGAGCCTGAAAGGACCAACTGGTTTGGTGGAAATGAGGGAAGTGAGGTCACCAGTAGTCCCATCCAGCCAGAGCTGGGTGCCAGGAATGCCGGGGCCGCTAGGCTCCCACTTCCTGCTGCTGCCAGGCTGGCATTGGCAAGAGTGGGAGCACCACGGTAGGGGTTTGACACCAGGAACTTGGAGCCCATGACCTCTGATCCCAGGCAGAAATTCAGTGTCATGTTTGTGCTGAGTGCATCGATTTGCCATCACCACCACCCCCCTCCCCCGGTTTTTTTTTTGGACTTTGGCACTTGCGTGAATAACCTGCTCCCACCCCCAAGTTACAGTGAGGTTCAGCTCCTCCCACTGCCCTTTAGGTTTTACTGCTGGGTGCGGTTGGGCCTGGGGGCAGGTGGGGGGTGCCCGGGCCAGAGTGGAGGCTTGACCTAGCACGTGATTTTCTTGCCAGGCCATCTGAAAAGGCATCAAGGCTTGGCTTCCTGCTCTCTGGGTGTCCACAGAATCGGATTCCCAGTTGGTGGTGTGACACCTGCATTTGTGTGTACTTTGTTAGACCAGGAGAAGGGTAGAATCACTTCCAGTCAGACCTGGGGTTGGGGTTTCAGGTCAACAGGCAAGTCACAGAACTTCTCTGAGCCTTGTTTTTCCTCTCTATAAAATGGGGAGGGGAAGTATTGGATTACAGTGGTACCTGCCTTCTCTAGAACTTTCTAAATAATGGGAAATATTTGAGCCCCTAGTGGATTGAGCTCCTTTATGCCCAGGCATTTAAATCCACAGCCTTATGCACAGCTTCTCAGCCCTGTTGAGGCCCTCTGTCAGGAAATTCCCATGAAATCTAGTATGGTGGGCATGCAGATGACCCACCTTATCATTGCAAAAAAATGTTAATATCATAAGTTACTTTTTTTCCAAAAAAAATTCTCTTATATATAGCATTTGAGTTTTACTTATTAGTTTTAACCTGAATTTGTTCACTAAGTGGGCGCTGTTATGTTATCTTCACTAGTTCTCCCAAGCAAAAAAGGTGTTAAGTGGAACAATACTGAGTGAGTGCTGGTGACGTGATGACGTTGGGAAGCCCAACCTGGGTTGAGACTGTACAGGGCAGAGGGTGAGGGGTGCCACAGTACTGGTCTAGGAGGAGGTACAGGTGTACTTCCAGCTCTGCCAACCTGCTTTGTCGATGGCTTTCCCCACCTCCCGGGGGGAGGGGGGAGCAGCAACACCGGCAGGCACAGAATGAGACCTAAACGTTGCAGCTTGGCACCTGGCACATGAGCCCACAGTGACAGCTGGCAGGCCTGAGCCAGCTCAGCTGTACTAGCTGGGCCACTTCCAGCCAAGTGTCTTAACCTCTGTAAGCCTCCGTTTCCTCTTGTGTAAGTTGGGGGCAATCGCTGCTGCCTCCTGTCAGGCAAGTGCTCAGAGCCTGACACTAAGTAAGTGCTCAGCAAACCTTGATTGTTGGTATTTTAACTAATAAATATTTCACAGAGATTATTACACACCCACCCCTGGGGCAACTAGCCCTGGATCTGCCTGTCTTGCTGGGCAAGAGCAGCTGTGGCCAGGCCAGGCCTGGTGCTCAGTAAGTGCCCAGTTCCAGGTCATTGTTGAATAACCAGATGGTGTTTCACAGCCCTTCACAGTCTGGCCCCCTACTCTTTCCACCATCCCTCTTGGGTGCAAA